GGCTGGAGGGCCAGGCCAAGTCACTCAGCGCACCACACTCCCCTCCTGGGGTGGCCTGGCCATGGGAGCCCTGGCCCCGCGGCTCGTCTGTGACGCTGGATTTCAGAGACTCAGAGCCCAAGAGAGATCGTAAACACACTTCGGTTTCCTGCACTGGTCCCGTGTGGCTGTGCTGTGGTTTTGGCTCTACCGGCCTAAATGAAAGGTTTTTCTTGTAACTGATCTCACCTGTTTCTTCTTCTTCGCATGTGGCTACCGGAAAATGTCAAAGCCTTCGTAAAGCGGCTCTGACTGTGTGCTGCTGGCCAGCCCTGCCCTGTGGGGAGATGCCAGACTGGTCGAGGTGCACAGTGTAGCTAGTGTGCGTCTTACTGACAACACACATGTCCCACGAAACACGGACCCTGCAACTAACATGGGCACAGATAAGACCTCAGGTGGAAGAACGGAGCAGGCCTGGGTGAGGGGGTGGGGTGTGTGCAGCGAAAGGCAGGGAGCCCCGAGACCCCCATTCCATGAGGAGCCTGGCAGGGACCTGAGGAAGATGGCGAAGAGCTCGCCCATGGAAAGGCCTGAGGGCTGAATGGGGTGGGTGCGTGCACAGACCCGAGCCGCCCAGTCCTCGGAAACCAGCGCCCAGAGACAGGGCTGCTCGTTCTCAAACAGATGCCACCAGTTACCGTCGCGTCTGACTCGGGGCCCCTCCACGTGGTCACAGCAGACCGCCCCCGCCCCCAGTTTCCAGTGGCTGCGGTTTCAGAACCAGATCGGGCTGTCTTCCGGGGGGTCTCTGGGTGACCCGCCTGCCAGCTTCTCAGTGAGCAGCACAGTGCACGAACCAGCCAGGGACCTCGAAAAGGCTCAGCTTTAAAACAATGAAAACGAGGGCGCAGGCCGGAGCCGCAGGCAGCATGCTGACCAGCGTGGCCGGCGTGCCCCTCACCGGGCAGGGGCAGCTCACTTGCCGTTGCTGTTGGAGGGTGACAAGAATGGCTGGTACCAGGGACGTTCTGACAGATGCTGTCCGCTTTGCTTTGAAATGAGAGTCCGGTGTTCCTGCATGTTATCGTTTTCAATAAAACATCTCAAGTGTTTTGGAAACAACAGAGCTGACAAAACACTTGCGGAAACAGACTGGTGTGGCTCTTGGGGAAACTCTTCAAGGCTTACTGCGTGGTGAGGAAAGCCAAGCGGCAGAACAATGCAGTTATTTTAAGACACAGGCATACAAGTGCAAACAAACAGTGTATTTCCGTATGTCCATGTGTTAGCTGTGCACCCACCCTGGAAACCTGGGAGATGCTGGGATGGAGCCAGGTGGGGCTCGGTGCCTTAGCTTCCATTTCTCCTGTGTTGTTAGATTTGCATTCGCAGTGAAGCTGTGTCACAACTATAGACTTAACAACAATGACCCAGCAATTCTACTCCTGGGTTTACACTCAAAGGTGGAGATGCAGACAGACGCGTGTGCACCCATGTTCCCTGTCAATGGTCACGATGGTGGACGAAGCCCAAACGTCAGCAGATGGTGGGCAAAGTGTGGGCCCTGCATGCAACGGACTGTCACTCAGCCATAAGGAGGAGTGGATGCTGACACACACTGTGCACAGACGAGCCCTGACAACATCAGGCTGAGTGAAAAGTGAAAACCAGAAAAATGAAACGCCTTGCTGTCCAGTCGATTCCGACCCACAGCGTCCCTAGAGGACAGAGTGGAACTGCCCACGGGGTCTCCTAGGCTGTCAATCTTCACAGAAGCAAAGCCCAAACCACACCCACTGCCCTGGAGTCCATTCCAACCCACAGCGCCCCTAGAGGACAGAGTGGAACTGCCCAC